ACTGCCCAAACTGAAAATTGCAAGAATACAAAACTAATTATGATAATACACTTTAATTTTGTCCTATTTTGTGGAAATATGTTTTATTATGAATAATATACATGTAGTTTTTCTTTGTTAATGTCTATAAATGCTGAATCTAGAGAAAAAAAATTGCCTTGCACTTTTTTTTGTGTGCAGTTTTCCATTGCGCATCTTTTCATTCAGTTTGATATTTCGACCAAAATTTATTCATTCTAAATATTTTCTGACTTGCTATATACTAGACCAATACCTAGCCCAGTAGTATAGGCAGGCAACTATAAATGAAGTGCATCATTGATTCAATTCTGCAAATGACAGGATGGTATGCATGTCTGTAGTATATATAACACTTAACTACACAAACAAGAATTTATATATATTTATATGTAAAGCTACCTTTCTGCACTGCTGACTTATACGATCTAAACATTTCAAAAATGGAAAATATTGAGGGTATTGAGACCTGACAGATCAGTGAAGATAAGCGGGCTACACTCTACACTTAAACCTCCAGGTAAAAATAAAGTTTAAAACAAATTGGATTCAGAAGAAGTGGCAAATATTTTGCTCACAAGTCTCAACCTATGATGGACAAAGAAATAATATACAAAGAGCAACTTTAAATAAAGTTTGTAATAAGGATAGTTTCTTTAAAAAATTGTCAAGTGAGTTGCTTTCTGATAGTGGGATCATGTCTTGCACATAAGACCTAATATGCAAGGGAGCCATTTTTTAAAATGTATACACCGTCTAGTTTTTTAAATACGTTTTGCTAAACTTCTGATTAAAAAATCTGTCTTGTCATAAACTGGCATTACCTTGAGGAAATCCCATGACATTAAATATTCTATCTAGCTGGTCGTGATGGTAAGGGTTGCTAGTCTTGATGTCTTCTTGTCGACAATGAAATATAGGCTCTGAGGTTAAAAGCTCGGCAAAGATACATCCTATGGCCCATATATCTGGTCAGGATAGAAAAACATACAATGTTTGATAAATCAACACAACCAATTTAAATTTCAAACCAGATCTCTATAAGTTTTTTGTCATAAAGATGAAAATATAAGAAGAATTTTTTTTAAAATGCAAGTTATAAAGACAAAACATAGGCTTTTAGTTACCTATTGCTTTAGTGTAGTGCCGGGCTGCTAGTAATAACTCCGGCGCTCGATACCAAAATGTCACAACCACAGGGTCAAGGTCAGCTAATGGTTTCAGCGGGGAATTAAATAATCTGGCGAAGCCCATGTCAGCTGAAGAGATTTTTATAGTTGACATTAAAGAAGTAATTAGAGTAGTTAGCTTATGTTAGAGTAAATAATAAAATATATTTACAAACTACTCTAATAAAATTGTTAAAAAGGTGCATCAATATTACCATTGTTACAGAAGCAAAAGGACATGCAATTTATATATTCAGTGATGGGACAAAGTTGTGTGTTAAAATATCCAACGAACCAATTTTTACTCGCCCCCTCTCTGGACCTTCACCCATGACCAATATGTTGGCTGGTTTCTGTGGAGCAGAGGGTTTACTATAGCAATAGCTAGTTAACAGAAAATGGCAGGAAAACAGAAGCAAGAGGACAAACATACAAGCAAAACAGATAGAAGAAGAAACCAAAGACAATAGCAAGAAGCAGACATTGAGACAATCAGACAAAGACAACAGAAAGTAACAGAAAAGTTTACCAAAGTCAAAAGACAACATAAGGTAGTTGAAAGACAACAGCTGAAAGGCTGGTAAAGACTTGACAGTTAAAAAAGACCAGCTACATTTATATCATTGACCAGCAATAGTTCTAACATTATTTTTGTTGAAGTTACACAACAAATAAAGAATTGGAAGATAAATTAAATGTAAATGGTTTTAAATATTGGAAATTTTTTAAACATAAAAAAAAAATGTTTCAAAATGTTTTGCAAACTTCCAAAAATTAGTCTGAGCTTTAAGGAGAACAAAACACATGTTTCATCCCAACAAGCACCAATGGTTGCTATGGTTACCCACCAAATCTCTGTGCAGGACCCAGTTGCTGTGCAGGTAGTGGATCCCTGCAAGAATCTGGTGTAGCAGTGACTTGACCATGTTTTTTGGGGTGTTGATTGGTTTCTTGTTGGCCTTGGCTGACCTGTGGTACTTGATGATGTGCTGGAACAGAACAAAACATTTCCTTCTCTCTACTCCTAGTTAGGAAGTGAACAGGCCCACAAAAGTTTTCCATGTTTCATTTAACTGACTTTAAGGTACAATTATATATTATACTAATTGATAAACACAAAGTTAAATACAAATAAATATTACTTTGTCAAAAGCTAACCTGTATAATTATAAATGTTTGATGCACTGCTAAGAAGGCATATATTCTAGAAGCTGTAATGATTATATACGTACCCATAAATCATGCTCTGAGAAATCAAACAGCAGCCAGACCTTCCTATCTTGATGCGACAAAAACACTTTAAGTAGACTAATTACATTTGGGTGTTTCAACTCACGAAGCAGCTTAAAAAAAACACATAAAAAAATATCAATACAACGAATATTGAATACAACTTACCTCTAAATATTTTATTTTTCAACAATTTTATTACACTTAACAGCTAATCAAAAATAAGAAATTAAAAAAGATAATTTACCGCTATTTCTCGACAAGCAGACATTGAGATTCCTGTGCCTTCAATCAACTTGAGTGCATAGTTAAGCTTCTGATCTCTGAAAGAAAGTTTGTTCAACTACAAGATTAAACTGTGGTAGAGAAAAGTCAATTCTATCAACCCCAATATTTATGTTTTCAAGAAAATCTTTAACTGGCATTTTTAAATGATAAAATTGTAGGCCTAACTACTACTAACTGATTGATTCGCTGAATTATTTGACCTAAGCGCACTGAGTACTGGCTAATTTAAACTCAAACACCCGTAGCTGATACTAACTCAATATTTTTAACACTTTACTGGGACTTTACTTTTCTATATAGGCCTAATATATATAAATACACAGGTTTCGAGTTACAACATTAGAAATGACAAAGGGAAAAGTTGATAATTGAACACAATTAATGGAAATTTTTTTGTAAAACTATTGCAGTCAAATGAGTCAATCATTAATGACATTATATTGGCTCCGCAACTTCTCAAGTTATGAGTAGTCTTTTTTTTTTCTTAGTTACAGTCTGTTACTTATGTAATATGTTATGTTACTTTTTTTTCTAGTTACTAGAGTCCAGACTCACTCTCTAGATTCTAGACCTAGATGATAGATCTAGAATAGATTCTAGATCTAGAACTTGCCATCTAGCCTAGCTAGATTAGGATAATCTAGATTTAGATAAACCATTAAACTGAGTGCTTGACCATTTGTTTGTACAATAACAGTGTAGATCTTGCTTTACCTTCGCATTTTATTTTAAATTTTCAAAAATTATTTAAACTTGCGCCAACAAGCTCACCACCATTCAGTCTCAGTCAGTCGACTCAGTGTCTGTCAGTGTCTGCGACTGGTGACTGAGTGATGGCTAGGCTAACCTACCCTTCTTTTCTTTTTGCCTTGTATACATGTCCATATGTGCCTCTTCCAACTTTGCATCCCTCGTATTCGAATTCATCTTCTACCCTTGCTCGTTCCTGTGCAGTTTTCATTTTAAATTCATAATCCATTTTTGTTAAAATATTCCGGGGTTCAATGTACGGCTTTGTTATACAAAAGTTCTCATTTTACAATTTTTTTTCTACAACAAGTATTTTAGCGTTACGCCCCCTGAAAATTAAAAAACTTAAAATTTACAGCACAAACTTATGTTTGTCCAAATATATTAACGAATTGGCTGTTATGCTTTGCATTCATTTAAAGTGGAAATATTTTGCTTCAAAGATTTAATTTAAAAAAAAAACAACAAATCTCTTAAAATGGGCTTCTTAAGCCTGACCTAATAAATAAACACGAACATTATAATTAGGCATAGGCCTATATGTTAGCGAGGCTCACTAACTTGAAAGCGTCATTGGTTGCTAACCAGAACATGGCGTTAGGATCGGACCATGACTTCCGGCGAGTTTTTCGACTTAGTTCCAGGGACCTCCTTGGAATTACTTTTAAAAGTGTTTACCACGAGCAAAATGGCAGGTTTTCACGTTATAAAAACATGCTATAGGTGGCAAGTCGAAATATGCCAGAAAAGCATTTTCAAAAATTGCTTTGGAGAATGTAGGCTAAATTTAAAGTCGGTGTCATTCAAAATAATATAACTTTTTAAATATAGATCTCCATATCACAAAATTGATTTCCAAAGTAAAGCATTATTAGTTTTATCATTCTATGAAAAAATAAATCAAATATCTTCAACACTTTTTTTTATAAGATGTGTCCAAAAAATGACAACCAAATTTTTTTATTTTTTTTTACCACGTGACCGCTATTTGAATGGATACGTTTACCTGGCATGGTTTTTTATTTTGCTCTTTTGTACAATAAAAAATGTTATAAAATTAAAGAAATAAAAGAATTCAAACATCACTTCTGTCTTGTCTTTTTTAAAATTCTTTTCTGATGACATTCTCTTAAATTTTTTCCCTCTATAAATATATCCCGACGATAGACGGGCCAATTCTACTTTTAGGAACTCTCTTGTAAAAAAAAATTAGATCTATTTCACGGTCAATTAAAAAGTTAAACCCTTCAGCTTTTAAGCAGGTTGTCATGGATGGATCCCTCATACCATAGCTGTGAGTGACCAAAAAATTTAAAATTCAATAATTTAGTCTAAAACTTGCAAATTCCCAAAATTAGTGCCTAGTGGATAAAGTATGGACGTTTTTTATTTAGTTGTCATGTTTAAGTTGAAAATTGAGTACATTTCAAATTTACTAAGAAAATCTACTATATGTTATTGGAATGTGCACAATCACAATGTTTAAAGTTTAAAGTCTACACAGTAAACACTCTAGATTCTAGACATAACAGAATAACAGTAGATCTAGATCTAAATGCCATTTTCATATCCCCATTGTAGATCATCGTATAACGTAATATATAACTTCCATAGACTCTCCCCCCCCCCCCCCCCCCACACACACACACCGCGGTCAGTTTATTGTAAGAACCGGGAGCTGAAACCAGTGGCGTAGCGAGGTCGGGTGTCACCCGGTGCGGCACTTAATGGTGTCACCCCCCAGAGGCGTAGGCGATTTGCACCCCCACCCCCTCAAACTTTCAATTTGCACCTCTTAAAACACTATTTTTTGCCTTGGTGTCACCCCCCTAAATGGTGTCACCCGGTGGGTCTGCACCCCCCCCCCCGCTATGCCTCTAGCTGAAACATAATCCATCACCAATCGGGGTCGTCTGACTTGGGTGCCGAATCGCTGTAATGTAGTGAGCCCCCTCCCCGAAGAAAGTCTACCGCCCCCCTCCCCCGAGCGAAATGGAATTTATATAGAAAATATATACTTTTACTAGTGTCCGCCCCTCCCCCCCCCCCCCCCAGAAAATGTTGACGCCCCCCCTCCGAAAATATCAAGTGCCCCCCCCCCCCCCGGAGAAAAAAGTCTGGAAGAAACACTGCTGGACCTGATTTTCAGTAGTGACAGCTAAAGCAGAGATGCTGTTGCCGATACTAGCCGTGTGTGTGGGGGGGGGGGGGGGGGAAGGGGGTACTTGGAACTTTTGGGTGTATGTTTTTACATAAATTATGGGCTATATAGGCCCTATTTTTTTTCGTCCGGAGGGAGAGTGGTGGACTTGCTCGGGGTGGGGGAGGGGGTGACATGTCTGAAAGAAACGGTGTAGACCAGATGTACACGTATTGTATAACTTAACTTAGGGGTCATCCATAAATGACATCACGCTTTTTTGACGATTTTTACCTCCCCCTCTCCTCCGTCACACATCTTCACTAAAAGCCAGACCCCCCCCCCCTAAAATGACGTCACCCCCCCCCCCCCCTTCAAAATTGCAGTTGAATTTTTTTTTTAAACATCGATATTTTTCCCAAATCTTGTCTGAACTCTGTCACAATGGAGTATTTTAATTAATTCATATTACAATTTATTAAAACAGTTTTCTGAAATTCATTTTCTAACATTTCTTTTTTTATAATACAAAAGTGTGACGTCGCACTATCTGAACCTCCCCCCTCCCCCTCATCCCACACCGTCACAAAATTACGGACCAACCCTCCCCCTTACGAGTGTGATGTCATTTATAGACGACCCCTTAGTCCTCTTTGCTCCTTATGGAAGATAGGGCCTCCACCATTTCCTTCCATTTCTTCCGATCCCCGGCTATTAATTTTGTCATCTACCAAGACATCCCTGTTGGCTTCAGTTCTTCGAGAAGACTCCGCCTCCAGGTCTGTCTTGGGCGCCCACGAAGTGGATTTTCAGATAGTTGATGAGTTTTTATGTTATGCTATGTGATGTAGGGAATATTTTAGAAAATTGTTGTACAATTCCTTTGTTACTGTATTCATATTTATGTATTATTTATCTTTGGAAGTGTCTGCAACTACAGAGATGTCTGGAAAGCTCTTGTCAGCGGCCTGTGTCCCAGGAGGGGCGACAGACAAACCTAACCTACCTAAATTATGTCATGATTTGTGTGTGAATGTGTGTGTTTGCGTGTCTGTCTGTCTGTGTGTCTGTGTATGTATATGAAGGGTGGGGGAAAAGTATAATTTTATGTTTCAAATTTGTACGACTCCAAAATTATGATTGTGTTACTCAATGCTTAACTGGGCAAGGCATAGGAGATCCAAATAACAACTGAGATTGTTGTACGTTTTTTTTGTTTTAGAGTTATAGCAAGCTGTTCTGTATTTGTTTACTGTATCAGTGCAATCAAGACAACGTTGATGTTTCGAGGATTGGGTAATCAGCCGTTGGTTGGACACACATACACACACATCGCCGTTGATTTCCTTGTGTCTTTGTCCAGGAGTTGGTGTTTAAAAAAATTCGCTTGTCACGATTCAGTAGCTAGAATGAGACAGACTCCACAATAGAAGAGACAGCGAAATTTCTAGTCTGCCCTCCACAGAAAAATATACAGGCCACCAAAATAAACGCGTTTACGCCCCTGATGACGGTGTAGGTGAAGTAGAGTTCACCAGTTTTTATGCCCTCATGATATGAAGGGATAGCTTGTTAACTTTTAGGCCTAGCCTATTTTACTTACATCACTAGAGTCCGTGCACTCATGTTAGTTTGGTGGACTTAGCTACTTACTTGCTTCACTATATAGATTCTATGTGATTATATACGTATGATAACATTTTTGAACCCCTCCCATGACCAATTCCTGGCTACGCCACTGCGTGCACTCATGTTAGTTTGGTGGACTTAGCTACGTCTGACGTTAGCGAGACGAGAGCTGAACATAAGAAATTCATTTCTTGTTTATTAGTCATGGAAAAATATGAATTCTAAACTTCAATGCTCACAGTAATGAACACTGACCACTTACACAGTAAAATGAACACAGGAAACACATTTGACCATGTATGAAATACAATCGCTTTATTTACTTTATTACATAGTAGAATGTTTTATATTCACTGAATGTTTTTTTTAAATTCTTTTTGAGTGTCAACTATATTTTTTAGAAAGCAGCTAATGCCATGGTGTGGGCTAGTAGCTGTCCGAGTTGAGCTTCTGACAGACACACCTCTCCAGGGGGTAGACGCAGTACCCACGGGCCAGGTTCATACACACCATGTTGTTGCAACACTTGGTCTCCCAGGGCACACACTGGCCCATGTAGTTAGTGCACTAGATGATACAAGTACAGGTAGTTAGTGCACTATATAAGTACAGGTAATTAGTGCACTAGATGATAGAAGTACAGGTAATTAGTGCACTATATAAGTACATGTAGTTAGTGCACTAGATGATACAAGTACAGGTAGTTAGTGCACTATATAAGTACAGGTAGTTAGTGCACTAGATGATAGAAGTAAAGGTAGTTAGTGCACTAGATGATAGAAGTACAGATAGTTATTGCACTAGATGATAGAAGTACAGGTAGTTAGTGCACTATATAAGTACAGGTAATTAGTGCACTAGATGATAGAAGTACAGGTAATTAATGCACTATATAAGTACAGGTAGATAGTGCACTAGATGATAGAAGTACAGATAGTTAGTGCACTATATAAGTACAGGTAATTAGTGCACTAATTGATAGAGGTATAGGTAGTTTGTGCACTATATTATATAAGTACAGGTAGTTAGTGCACTAGATGATAGAAGTACAGGTAGTTAGTGCACTAGATGATAGAAGTACAGGTAGTTAGTGCACTATATGATGGAAGTACAGGTATTTAGTGCACTAGATGATAGAAGTACAGGTAGTTAGTGCACTAGATGATAGAAGTACAGGTAGTTAGTGCACTAGATGATAGAAGTACAGGTAGTTAGAGCACTATATGATAGAAGTACAGGTAGTTAGTGCACTCTATGATAGAAGTACAGGTAGTTAGTGCACTCTATGATAGAACTACAGGTAGTTAGTGAACTATATGATAGAAGTACATGTTGTTAGTGGACTATATGATAGAAGTACATGTAGTTAATGCACTATATGATACAAGTACAGGTAGTTAGTGCACTATATGATAGAAATACAAGTAGTTAGTGCACTATATGATAGAAGTACAGGTAGTAAGTGCACTGAATGAAACAAGTAACAGTATAACACTACAAAGAGAGATCAACATGTTTGTAAATA